AAGTATTTCTCTCTCCCCAACATCCAGCCCAAGGTCCCATGTGCTGTAAACCACTAACAAAAATTTTAATAAAGAAACACTTACAATACAGAAATTTAAATCCCAAACGGATTAGAAGCACAGAATCATGGAACCTTAGGGTTGAAAGGAGACTAATATCCTCTAATCTCTTCATTTCACAGATGAATACAGGGACCCAAAAAGAATAGTGGAGGCTGGACATCAGCCAGTGTCAAGCTCCTGGGCTCTGACCACACCCAACCCCAGGTCCAGCTGACCAGGACACGCTCCAGGCTCCACCCGCCCAAAGGACGGATGCTCCTCCACCTTTACAGGGGAAAGGAGCCCCCAGCTCCTACCCCCATCCCCACTGAGGTCTTGACTCCTGTGCCCATTTTCCTGGAATGGAGCCCCACCCCCCAACACACACTCACACACACACACACACATACACACACACACGCACTTCCAATTTCTGTGGTGCTTCCCTCTCATTGTTCGCACTCCCAATCTTTATGCCCACTCATTTAATCATTTATTAAGCACCTACTCTGTGTCACTGTGCGGCGAGCACTGGGGTTCCTGCCCTCCAAAAGCTCGGTCTTTCCGACACAGCGGACACAGCCCCGAACACAGGGCCAGCGCTTGGGCAGAACGCGCCCGGAGGGACCAGGGGTCGGCAACCCCCCCCCCCGCCCCGGCCCCGCTCACCATCCCGTCCCTCCCGCTCTCACGGCCCCCCTCCTGCTCTCTGCCCCGGCCTGCAGCCCCCTCCCACGCACGACCCGGGCCCCTTTCCCCAGGGGCTGTGTGGGGGCGGGGAAAGTTCGGAGCCGCAGCGCCGGGGTTTCAAGGGGCCCCGAGACCCCCGAGGCCGCCGCCAGCCCGAGGCTGGGTGGAGGCAGCGCGCGAGGAGCGGGCCGGGCAATGGCCCCCACAGCACGGTCCGTTCCTCCGCACGCCCCTCCCGCCCGGATTCGGAGGGACTCGGAGGGAGGGGACGGGAATAAATACCTTGACTTTGTGGTTAAGGTTAACGGGAACTGCCACCCCGGGGCGACTTGGGCACTGGGCTCCCCGGCCCCGCCAGTCCCGGGACAGGCGGGGGCGGGCGCCTCCCCCTGATTGGCTAACGGGCCGGCCATCCCCGGGGCCGTCCCGCCGCCTGATTGGCTGCGCCGCTCAGATGACCAGCTTCTCCCTATCGGAGAAGCCCGCGGGGCGGCCCCCTTTGTTCTCCTGAGCCAATAGCCCTGGTGGGCGGGCTGACCTCGCCGCCCGCTGGGCCTCCCGGGGCCCCGCGCGGCGTTAACGCTTTGGCCGCTGGCTCGGGACCCTTGTTCAGGGCTCCGAGGGGAGGAGGAGCGAGGGCGAGGCCGGGTGCTGGTGACCGGACGGCGCCGCGGCACCATGTTCTTCCCCTCTGCCGGGCTCTCCCTCCGGCTCTGGCCCCGCGGACGCGCTCTCAGATCGAACCCGTCATTCCGCAACTCTCCGTCCGACTTAGGGACGAGCCCGCCCCGCTCTTAGTGCCGGGATCCGGGAGAACAGGACGCACGAACCCCACCCTGACGCTCACACTCGAGTGTGCATGTGACATGGTGGCACCTGGCACTACAGTACACCAAGTGTTAGGGTGAGAAGCTGTACTTGCCTCGCGCGACCCGAGAGAAATCGCCATCCGCACCCCGCGTGGCGCTAGGCACGTCGTGGGCGCCCGATAAACGATCCTGGGGTCTCCACGAGAGAGAGAGAGAGAGAGACCTCATTAAATTCACCCCCTCGCTTTCTCGTCAGGAAACAGCGGTCTGAAGAGGTCACGTTCCTAGGTGGAGTGTCCCTGCTGATTTAGAGGCAGGGTCCAGGCGGCCTGGAAATCTTCAGAAAAGAGAATTTTCTCTTCTACCCACACTAATTGGAAGGAATGCTCCTTTATGCCAATAAGATTCCACACACTGCTACCTCAAGCTAGCTAGGTCAACTGCCACTGGCAGTATTCTCTCCGGAGCTTCTTAGAAACTGCCTTTGGGACTCGAGGTTGATAAAAACAGAAGCTGGCCTCTCTCTCTCAGACTTCCTACAAACCTACCGTGAGGCTGGTGGACCTCATTCCAATGAATCAGTAGCCACCTACTAAGCATTTGCTGTGGGCCCAGCTATTGTTTGGCCTCAGGACAATAGACACGGGCCGACTGAGATTCTATCGGTTTTGCCACTAACTTCTGTGCAGCTTTTCTGTCTCTGGACTTTGACTTATCTGTAAAAGAGTAATTGCCTAGTTACATACTTACCTTTCCAGACTTTTGCAGGACCCAAATTGGTTCTATTGTCTATAGAAACATTTGTAAAGTATAAAACCCTACACAGAGGCCAGATACGACTAGACCATCAACTTTTTAAAGAATCCCGTTCATCTCTTTATTTTCTAGAGTACCTTCTGGAGGTTTACCAAAACCTTGTGGAATTCCAGTATTCTAGGTCCAGATCTGCCACTGATTATGAGTGAGAAACCCCACTTCTCTCTGGGCATGTTTCCTCCTCTACAGAGTGAAAGTCTTCCTCCAGATTGGCGTTTCATGACCAAGTGTATTTCAAGGACGGAAAGAATGAAGCACATCTGGGATCCTATTTACATTAAGAAAAAAAGAGAGAAAAGACAGAACGGGGGGAGGGGAGAATGAAAGACTTCCATATTTAGAAAATATATGTCTGCATTACTAAATTTTGACAAGCTAATTGAGTACTTTTATAATTGTAGAAGAAAAGGGGGGGGAACCCTGGACACCTCAGAACAGCAGAGTAGCTCCTGTCAGCAGAACTGTGACCCCTCCAACCTGAGCAGTTCCTCCCTTGAGACTGCTGTCTGCATGTGCCATGCTGAGCAATGACTTGGGAACCACCAGGTCCTCTGAGGGACCCAGGAAGGACCCATGGACAGGTTCACTCTGTCCCAGTTTGACCACACCCTCAAGGCCACTTCTGTGGCTTTCCCTGAACTTTGGACCTCTCCTCAACCATCTCTACCCCAAAGTAGGTGCAGCACAGCATTAGTGGACACCCAGTGCCGGCCTTCCCCACCCCCAAGCATTTCCTGTAAAGGTGATCTTTCAAAGTCAGGAGCCCTGGTCGGATTCCCTCGCCCTCATCCTTTTCCCCAACCCCCAAGTACAAACCTTAGGTGCCTGAGGACCTGGTTCCTGCTCCCTGCCCATCATCCCTAGACGACCTACTTTCCTGCCCCCCAAAAAGCATTGCTCCCCTTCCCTTGAAGCCCTGGGGTCCCTTAAAGAGACATATTGAAGTGTGGCATTCTTGAGTCAATGCTTCTAGTCTCTGAAAGATAATTTGCCATTAACCATACAGGTTTTTAAGTGGCTCCATGAAGGCATGAAGTGGCTTCAACCAGTATGAAACTTGGAAGCTATCTGCTTCCATCCTACACACTTGGGAGTCCCTCTCATCCCCATCCATCTCCCTCTGCTCATCATGTGTGTACACATATACGTCCTCCCCAGACTTAGGCCTCTTAGAGGTAAGGACAAGGTCTTACCTTGGTAAAACCCCTGGTTGCCATCACAACCTCAAGCATGGTAGGCATTGGATAACTATCTTCACCAAAGCAGCAGCATACGCCATTCACCCAACAAACATGTGGCACTAGTCAAGAGCACATGTTCCAGGAGTCAGAGACCTGGGTTTAAATCGCCTCTGGTGACTGCCAGTTATATGACCTTGAGCAAACGGTTTCATCTGTAAAAGAAGAGTACCTACCACCCGGGGATTATGTTGAGATCATTTAGGCAAACTTCTTTGCGAGGTGCCACTCCCATTAACAAATTGTGGTGGTTATTATGCATGGTGTGCCTGGTGCTGGATCTGTGCAGAAATTACTCAAACTGGCAGGAAAAGGGCCTACTGACACCTGTCAAGAATAGGCACTCAAATGTGTATGAAACGGCCAGTACAGGGACGCATCAGCGGGCCAGCCAGGAAGGCATTGCAGAACATTCAGATCAGACCTTGTCCTCCTAATTACCGGCCCCTGACAGGTCTCACTTGACCCCACAGAAAGCTAAGTCCCTGCAGAACTAGCCTCACCTGCTGGGTGTGCCTGGCCTCCCCTGGGGAAGAACTGGGAGCAGGGTGCAAAGGAGCTCAAGTGGGGGCACTTGCCCTGTTACCAGCACCCCTCCTGCCCCGAGGCCCCCTGCCTCGCCCCCTCCCCCTGCCGTCCCCCAGCCCAGAGCAGAGCATGCTGCTCCTCTTTCAAACTACACAGCTCACCGGGAGAAAGGAACACTCAGCCACCAGCTCTAAAACCAAATCTTTATTCTCTAGTTTGAAAAGGAGGGTAAGTGGTTGTTCTGTTTCATTCCAGAGAATAGAACAAGGCCCGATAGGTAGAAATTACAGGAAAGCAGATTCCATTCATTATAAGGAAGAATTTCTAACAATTAGAATTATCCTACAATAGAACCAGGGCCTCAGGAGGTGGGGACTCCCTGTCACCTAAGTGTTCAAGCAGAGGCTGGGCATCCATAACCTAGAAATGTAGAAGAGGAAACTCGCCCCTTTCTGCCTGTCAGCCGACCCTCCATGATCAGTGGGGCAGTCCTTTCCACCGTGCTGAGTTCTGGAATGAGTGGAGGGTTGGGGTGTTCAGACAAAAGCCTGGACACGGGGCTGCTGACAGCCAGGGGATGCTCTAAGCACTGGGAGGGTGTGCATTGATCTCGGGGAGGGGGAGTGGAGCTGAGCGCTAACAGTAGATGGGTCTGAGTCCTGGTGCCTACGCAGGGGCAGGAGGAAGGGGACGGGGTAGGACAGGTTAGAGCAGCGCGGCCTCACCTCTCTGTGCTGGAAAAGGCCTAGGCGCTGTCTAACAAGGCCAGCAGGTTCTCCCAGGTGTATCCAGCTGGTCCACTTTTCCTCCCAAGTGCTCATTTACTAAGGACTGTACCACACCTACTTCCAAAAACTGAGCTGAAGAAACTCATAATAAAAGACAGGGACATTAAGGCGTTAACACCAGAGGGGAAGGGTCTTCCTGGTCCCTGGTGGCCCCTCCAGCAGGAGGGCTCTAAGGGGTAGGTGGAGCTGCTATTGCTACTTTTCCAGGGCCCAGGGCAGTCGGGACAGAACCTTAGCAAACACCAGCTGGAGGCCAGAGTCCCATGCTCTGCGAGTGGTTTCCCTGGCGCCCCGGGGCCGGACCTCCCTCCCTAACAGGGCCCAGCTCCCCGGCCGCTCCCCCATCCCTTGCCTACACCAGCAGCAACACAGGCCCCCCCACAGCCTAGGCTCACAGCAGCACTCTCGTGTAAATGACGCCCAGCCCTGCCCCCTCGGCCTCCGCAGCCCCTGCCCGCTCAGACGTCATGCTTCTTCTGATGGGCCAGGAGCTTCTCCTCGTCGTCAAAGGTCTGGCCACAGATGGCGCAGCAGAAGGCGCCGTCCCGGATGTGGCTCTTCCGGTGGGTGATGAGATTGGACTTCTGGCTGAAGCTCCGGTCGCAATCGGGGCAGGCATAGGGGCGCTCGCCCGTGTGGATGCGCCGATGGGACACCAGGTTGGACTTCTGGCTGAAGGCTTTGCCGCAGTCTGGGCAGACGTAGGGCTTCTCGCCGGTGTGGATGCGCCGATGGGCCGCCAGGTAGGGCTTGTGGCGGAAAGCCTTGCCGCAGTCCGGGCAGACGAAGGGCCGCTCGGGGGCGTGGTCTCGCCGGTGGGCCGCCAGGTGGCTGCCCTGGGAGAAGCGGCGCCCACACTCCTCGCAGGCAAAGGGCCGCTCGCCCGAGTGCACCCGGGAGTGCGCCACCAGGTGGGTCTTCTTGCCGAAGTTCTTCCCGCACTCGGCGCAGGTGAAGGGCCGCTCCCCCGTGTGCTGCCGCTGGTGGGCCCGCAGGAAGCGCTCCAGCCGGAAGCTCCGGCCACAGTCTTCGCAGCTGAAGAGGGAGGGGGGCGCGGCCGCCGGCTCGGGCGGGGGCGCTCCCGGGGCCTCCAGCGGAGGCTCGGGCGCCCGCTCCCGGGCAGGTTTCAGCGGGGCCTCGGCGCGGGGCTCGGACGAGGCCTCCAGGGAGCCGGCCGGAAGCTGGAGGCTCCCCGAGCCGGGGACGCCCTGTGCAGACCCTTCGGACCGCTTGTGGATCTTGCTGTGGGACAGCAGGTTGGGTTTGTGGCGGAAGCGGCGCCCGCACTCCGTGCACGGGTAGGGCTTCTCGCCGGTGTGGATGCGCCGGTGTGAGGTCAGGTAGGGCTTATTGGTGAAGCGCTTCCCGCATTCGGGGCACTGGTGGGGCCGCTCGCCCGTGTGCACACGGCGGTGGGCGATCAGGTTGGGCTTGTGCCGAAAGCGCTTGCCGCAGCAGGCACACTGGAACGGGCGGTCGACCGCGTCTCCACCCGGCCGGGGGGCGGTCACAGCCGGGCGGCCCCTAGGCCGGGGCCCGAGAGCCTTGGCTGCTGCCTCCTCCAGGGCCTCGGCCACGTGAACCCGCTTGTGAGCGACTAGCTGGTCCCACTGGGCAAAGCTCCGGCCACAGTTGCCACATATAAAGGGCCGGGCCTCCGGGGCCGGGGGGTGGCACCTCCGCACATGAGCTCGAAGCTGCTTTCGTCGCCAGAAGCGTCTCTCACATTCAGGACAGGCGATGGGCCGCTTTGCAGCCGAGTGGGCCCGCAGATGCAGAACCAGGGCCACCCAGCCTCGGAAGGTCTGCCTGCAGAGGTGGCAGGCAAAGCCCAGATCTGGGGTGGCAGCGGCATGGACCTGGCAGTGCAGTGCCAAGAAGGGGGCGTGTCGGAAGCGACGGCCGCATTCAGGACAGGGCAGGGGCAGCCGGGCCTGGCAGTGCCGGGTGTGAAGCCACAGGGCCACCCAGCCCGGGAAATGCCTTCGACAGTGGGCACAGCGATGGGCCCTACTGGGGGCTTGGCTGCCCGACAGGGCCACGGAAGTGCCTTGTAACCTCAGCCCGTGGGGCTCCTTCTCCAGGGTCTGGGGCAACTTCTGGGAGGGCCCAGAGACCTTGGGCTGGGCCGGGCCCATGGCCAGGGGGCCCTTGCAGCGACGTTCCAGCATGGGTTCCTCCTCTGCTGAGGGTGGAAAAGCAGTGTCACTCTGGAGATCAATTCATCCTGCCCCAGTTCCTCCCTGGCCGACCCCAGGCCTGAGAGGAGCTCGTCCCTCTGAACTCCTAGAGCCCTTGAATCTGGCCTATTCTTCTATTTCCTTGTCTGTTCTACATCATTTCAATCTTGCGCTTCTAGATACCATTTCAAGTGTATTTAAGTATTTACTCAGTATTTACTAACCCTGGAAACTACCAGAAGGGAGGAACTCTGACACTTCTTGGAATCCCCCCTCATGCTAGTCACCCCGTGTCTGGCATGGAGTAAACACTCCAGCATTGGCTGCACAAACATTCCTGCCTTCAGACTCACCAGAGAACGTGGTCACCTCTCCCTATGGTGCTTTAGGCTTTTTACAGGCGCTTCCCTGCTGCCCCCTGCTCGTTTCTATTATTTCCTGCTGCTACATTTGAGCTTCACAGCAACAGTGAGGTGGGACAAGCAGACATGAAGCTCCCAGCTTGACAGATGAAGCAACTCTGAGGCATAAAAAGGAGAGGGCGGGGTTTGCCCGAGGGGACACAATAAACCAAGAGCAGAACCAAGACCGGGGGACAGGTCTTCTAAACTCCCAGGCCAGTGTTCTTGCTTCTAAAACGCCTGGGTTTGTGAAGTTCCCACAGAAAGAAACTCCTACAGCCTTTACCCTATTTATCCTCTCCTGGGTTCTAATCACATCACAGGGGAGCGTTTTTGGCCTCCCCAACCTCAGTCGCTCAGGGTAGAAGCCTGGAGAGCAGGAGACAGCGCTTCTGGGGAACAGGAGGGGAGTGCTAGATGCTACTTGCAGCGCTCTGTAAGGCCAGGCCACTGCCTGTCCAGGCTGCCCACACTCTGCCTGCCTGCCCTCCTCTACCCACACACACGATTAGCACATCGCAGGAAGGAGAGTTCTCCTGAATCCAAGGAACACCCACACCCGGCTACCCTCCCTCGGGGTGGTCAGGATTACTACCGGGGCAAGAGAAGGGGAGGAAAGACAAGACTGTAATCCCTGTCCCCTGCCAGGTCATGCCCCAACCCCACCAGGAACTGCCCCACATTGCACTCCTCCACGGTGCCGGGGAGCCCAGATTCCTCAAGGACAGCTTCCTGCAGCCACTGAGGGGTGGGTGGTGGTTAGCCTCCTAATGGACCTCCACTGCCGGCTTGCAAGCTCCAGACACATCCTCCTAAATTCCCGAGAGCCAAACTCCTCTCGAAGAGCTCAGACATGACTCATTCCCCATGGCCAGACTGGGCACAGGGAAGACGCTGGTATGGGAAGGTCATCCTTCCCCCCTACAGGTGACCGCCTTCCTCCAGGATGAGGAGATCTGAGCACTGGGGCTGTGGAACGGTTTGGGAACCCAACAAAGAAGGCCAGACTCTACCCTGGAGACCGTGGAGCTGGAGATGAGGCTTTTTCCAGCTCCTCCCGGGGATGTTCCTGGGGATACTTCTGTGGCTGTAGCGCCTGCTTCGGCCCACACTCTGGTAGCCCCCAGATGTCAGAGAAAACTGCAGCAGTAAAGACACCCCTACCCCCATGGCAGAGCTCAGACCTCTGAGTGCAGAGAGGCCAGCCTTACCTGCGGGGAGGGGAGAGAAAACACGCATGAGGCTCTGAGCTCCTCCAGGGCAGTCATCTTTGTGTCCTCGCCAGCCACAACCCCCTCCCCCCACCCAAGCCCCACACCCGGAGCGGCCGGGGAACCTTAACGGATACTGGATTAGTAGATGAATGTGCCCCCTTCACCAAGGAAGTACTCGACAGCGTCTGGGGGTCATTTCCTCCACGGGTAAGGTCACAGCATGAATTCTCCATGCTGATGGCCAAAGGCCGGCCGAGGGCAGAAACTCTGGAATCCCTGCTGGCTCCCCTTCCCCCACCCTCCTCCCAACAGGAATTCCAGGCTCGGTTCCCAAGGGGCTGCGTAGGGCGAGCTAGTGTGGCCAGGTCTCGGTCACAATCCCCTTGCACCTCTGGATGGCAAAAGGTCGTGAAGATTCCCACACCCCCCTTTTGTTTTCGCGAGTGTCCCCCGTCCACGTCGCGGACGCGCACCCCGAGTGGGCCCTTTCGGGTCCCCACGCAGAGCGCACCTCGCGGAGCCTGTGCGCAGGTGCGCGGGCTCGCCCCCCCATTCGGTCCAGCACTGTCCCCCCCACACAGCGCACACACAGTCACGCGCCCCCGGCAGGTAGGGCCGCCCGCCTCGGGCCCGCGTGGAACCCCGCGCCCTGCCCGGGACGAACCTCTCCGGCGGGGTGCGCGGAGGCGCGTCGCGCGTCCATGAGGCCGGAACGCCGGCGCCGGCGGCCGCGCTCCCCACCCCGCGCGGCGACAGCGGCAGGTTCGAGTTCACAACTGCCAGGCCCGGGCCCAGCCCCCCCGCCGGTTCCCAGCGCCACGTGACTACAGGAGCTGCCGAGGGTCAGTCGCGGGCTGGGGCCGGCGGCCGCGGCCGGAGGGCGGGGCGGCCGGGGCCCGTCCCCTCCGCGCCCCCCCTCCCAGCGCCCCCTCGCGGGCTGGGCCGGGGGCGGCAGCCCGGAGCGCGGCTCCGTAGCCATGGCGCCCGGAGCCCGGATTTTCCGGGACAGGCCCGGCTCAAGTTTCCCGACCCTTTGTCCCTACGGAGGACGCGCGTCCCTGCGCGACCGCGTGGCCGGACCGCGGTCCCTCGGCTAGACCCGGCCTCTATGGCTTCCTCCGAGAGGGCGCTCGCCGCCCCCGGGCCACCCCTTCACTGCTTCGGCCGCCGCCGGCCACCTGGACCTCTGGCCGCGCTGCAGCCCCGAAGTGCCCCTGGCTGGGGGCGGCGCAGCTGACCCGAAAGTCTGGCTTCTGGTTTGTTCACAGGGGAGAAAGGAAGGGCCCGACCGCGTGAACTTTAAAGAAGGAGAATACCACCTATTCCAGAAATTACCACGAGCAGGCGTTCCCGGCTTCCCGTGGCCGGGGGCGCGGGGCCTGGCCCAGTGGTCGCTCCGGCCCCGGGCATTTCGCTCGGAACCGCGCAGCAGCCGGTCGGCGAGCCGGGGAGGCAGGCGCGAGCCTGCGCCCGTGACTCGCCGCCGAGCAGGTGGCCGTGGCTCTACGAACCAAACACTTCCTGGGTTTTCCAGGCTAGTACAGTGTCATGTACTTTTACGCTTTTCAACAAAGTCGATGTTAATTGCGCAATCATTTTTAAAACACTTAAATCTGTTGCATCAGTTCTATCGGAAATAGAATATAAAAATCTCTCATACTTTTAGCTCTTAGAGTCAATTACATTTCAAATTTTGGTATGTCTCCTCCGGTGTTTTTTTCTATACTTACCTATGCACGTTTGACGTAATAGGGATAATGCGTTGCAAAAATGTATTCTGCCCTTTTCACTAACAATATTGTGAGTTTTCTCCCATTTTATTAGATACTCTCTTATGGCGTGATTCTTAATGGCAGCATAAATGTACAAGTAAACTTTCTTGGTTTTCTATATCATTAGAGATTCATCTTTTATCACACATGGCTGATTTTAAAATTCAAGGAGTGGGGAACTGACGGATCAAAGGCAAAGTATATTTTTAAAATGCTTTCTAAAATGTCTTCCAGGAACATCTATTAGCTTTCCCTTGAGAAATGCCCATTTTTCCATATCCTTGAAGACACTGGCTATTTTTTCAAATTTAAAGTCATTATTTCTCATTGTTTTGAATTTCATTTCCTAGATTACTAGTTAGCTGGCTTGTTTTTTCACATGTTTATTGCCTGCTTGTATTTTTTGCGCATTTGCTTGTGTCCCTTTGCTCACTTTATTTGTCCATTTTTTAAAGTGGGGAAATTGGTTTTATTTCACATTGTTTGGGGGTTCATATCTTATAAAGTAAAAGGCTTTTATAGTTTCTGCCTTTGGTGCACATAAAGAGCAGCCACCACACCCCAAATTAAATTTTATGTGTGTATTTTTATCACAGAAAATAAGTTTTAATATCTAATAGTGTAAGTACTCCCCCTACACACAGATTCCTTTTTTCCCCCAAAAATATTTCTTGGCTACAGTCACTCATTTATTCTTCCAAATGAACTTTAGAATCTGTCAAATATTTTAAAATTTTTCTTGTCAATATTTTAAAATCCATTTGAAGAGATTTAAGATTCATGTCCCCCCCCCCCATTTGTTCAGGGCTTATTTTATCTCTCACAGTCAAGGTTTCTATTTATAGGTTAGATGTGTAAGTTTATACTTTTTATGTAATAAAAATTCACAAACATGAAAAGAAAAACTTGTCAGAGCATGAGTTTTGGAGTTCAGAAAATATGTTCATAGCTTAAAGCATACTGTACAATGTATGTCAAGTTTGATGATTACAGAAGAATGGATTTGTCTTTCAGTGCATTCAGATGATACTCTAGTTTGTTTGTTTGTTTGTTTAAGTAGCTTCCACCCAGCATGGAGCCCAGCAAGGGGGCCTGAACTCACGACCCTGAGATCAAGACCTGAGCTGAGATCAAGAGTCACACACTTAACCAACTGAGCCACACAGGTGCCCCTAAGATATTCTAGTTTTTACGTAAGTACTTATTAAGGATAGTTAATATGTAGGGAGTCCTTATGTTGTGTCAGACATGGTGATAAACTCCTCACATACACATTTCAATTAATCCTCTCAACAACCCAGAAAACATACTCTTCTAGTCTTCATTCTGCAAATGAAACAACTGAGTCTCAGAGAGGTGGAGGAATTTGCCCAGGGCCACACAGCTAGATAGGGGTTGATAGGAAACTAGCCCTACTCCTCACCCCTAAAATTTTATGTGTGGGAAAAGCACGAAGTGTTGGGCCCAGCACAGAAGAATTGTGAGATACCTATCAGTTCATGAGTAAATGTGGCACATCCAACACTTACTTCCCGCAAGCACCCTCAAAAGGAAATTCCTTCATGGACCCCCAGAGTATCTTCACCTCTGGGTAACCAGTCTCTGTTAGCCAAAAGGCCCTTCACTTAAGTCCATAAACTATTCCCTCACTCCCTGGCCCCCACTAGAAGAAGTGTCCTCCCACCCAACCAGGAGTTAGCCATCTGCTGTACCTTCCTCTTCTGGCATAGCCAGAGGAAACGGCGGGGCCTTCACTCTGCAGAAGGGTAAGGAACACAGGAGTTGTGAGGGATTCCCAAGCCTTCTGCCAGTCAGGAATTCCAGGCCTTGGTATTTGGGACTCTGCCCCTCAGTATGCCTTAGAGGAGGATGTGCGGGGGGGTGGTATAGCAACCAGCCAAATGGCCTAACCCAATGGAGACTGTCTCAGCTCTGACATGCTTGCCAGAGAATGATAGGGCGGTACAGGGTAGAGGACCCAACAGACAGCAAAAATTGACAGGAGCTCTGGGAGGATCCTCTTCCCCTCTAACAGAGCCTGGCCCCCACTACTGGATTAGATGGCAAAGTAGGCGGGCATGCCAGGGGATGAGGGGAGCAATGTCTCCAGAATCCTCTATGAAGAGGACCGAGTATAGCTTAGAAGCAGTCCCGTGTCTGCAAGAGGGCAAACTGCATCCACCTCTCGCAGATACACTGCCCCAGTCCTCCCCACAGGACTCGCTGCACATCCAACAAACACTGAGTCAGGGCCCGCCGTCGGCCATTGGTCCACGTGCTGGGCCTCATCATGAGCCACACAGAAATGGTCCTGCTGTTTCCCCGCAACGGTAAAGGATATCGAGAGGACTTCTCAGCCCAGTTTAGCGATGGAAATCTTTCTTGGGGTAGTACTTAATATGAAATAAAACCAAGTACTTGTGGGTTGTTTGGTTTTTTTGTTTTTTTTTAAGATTTTGTTTATTTATTGGACAGAGAGAGCACAAGCAGCAGGAGCGAGAGAGGGAGAAACAGACTCCTGCTGAGCAGGGAGCCCAACATGGGGCTCGATCCCAGGACCCTGGAATCATGACCTGAGCCGAAGGCAGACGCTCAACCAACTGAGCCACCCAGGCGCCCCCAAACCAAGTAGTTGTTGATAAACTTCGAATGGATGACTGTCGAAAAGCTGGAGGAAAGTAGGAAGCCAGAGAGAAGTGAGAACTCCACTCTATTGCAGCTAACAATTTTTTTTTAATAATTTTTTTATTGTTATGTTAACCACCATACATTACATCATTAGTTTTTGATGCAGTGTTCCATGATTCATTGTTTGTGCATAACACCCCGTGCTCCACGCAGAACGTGCCCTCTTTAATACCCATCACCAGGCTAACCCATCCCCCCACCCCCCTCCCCTCTAGAACCCTCAGTTTGTTTTTCAGAGTCCATCGTCTCTAATGGTTCGTCTCCCCCTCCGACTTACCCCCCTTCATTCTTCCCCTCCTGCTATCTTCTTCTTCTTCTTTTTTTTCTTAACATATATTGCATTATTTGTTTCAGAAGAACAGATCCGTGATTCATCAGTCTTGTACAATTCACAGCGCTCACCATAGCACATACACTCCCCGATGTCTATCCCCCAGCCACCCCATCCCTCCCACCCCCCACCACTCCAGCAACCCTCAGTTTGTTTCCTGAGATT